CACACACACACACACACACACACACACACACACACACACACACACACACACAACAACACACACGCTCACATGCAAACTCCAAATTACAGTCCTGCCCCCCCTACAGAAGAGGTTTTAAACATTTCTCATCGTGAAGATGTAGCTCTAGGTGGAGGTTTTTTGTGTTTTTTTAGCACTGTTATGGCTGCCTCCCGTTGTGCTGCCATGGCAACAAAACAGCCGTCTGTGGTGCATGCAAATAGACAGGAATGGGAAAAGATCCTCGTCTTATTCCCAAATGTTTCTGGTTTGAATGCTGAACAGCCTAATGTGATGCAGGTTGTTAGTACAGACCAAACTACTTTAAATTCTCGTCTGAAATCGTTTCTGTAACGTTTTCTTGTGAGCTCTCCGCACTTTGGCCTTCATGCTGTCATGGTTATGTCCTCAGACGGTTCTCATGTGCGTTATAGTTAACATCTAAAAAAGACTTGATTGCACATCCAGAATATCGTTTTACAGTTTTTGCTCAATTTTCTTAAAGGCACAGTACGGAATTCCACCACCAGGGGGCTCTGGCTCAGAAGATGATGTATCAGAGTATAATTTACATGATGTTTTTATCACAGCAGCACAAACAGCAACAGTACAGCAGCTTTCAGGAGCAGCTCACGCTTCCTTATGCTGCGGTCTTTTGATGCAACATCCGTTGTTTCCATGGCAACAGTAAACATGTTGTGTCTGTCATGGCGGATCATCATAGCAGCTGCCGCGATGAGACACGTCCAGTTAGAACTATACCGTCTGAATATTAATGTAGCAAAAATCTAATATCCGAGTGAAGTCAGACTCCCTCTGGGTTTGTTGTTGTGAGCGCTGTGTTCACACTGAAGGGACGGCGCCTCCTTCAGCTTGTTTATGTGTCACTCAGAGGTTCAGACATGTTTCAGAACCCCTCCCTCTCCGACCATGTGGTGGGAGAGCAATGGCCCCGCCCACTCAGGTACGCTGAAGGGCATCAGAAAAAGTCTCTGAAGTAAGTCTCTGAGTTTTTTTCTTTTTTTTAAGTAGGATTTTGAGAACGTGTTTGCATTATTTCTACTTGGAGCCAAATGCTCTTTATGATTCTAATATCTGCTCCTCGGGCGGTTCCTTTATAACGGTAACAAGTCCGAGCATCCTGCGCCTGGAAAAAAAAAAGTCCTAATCGTGCTCCTTTTTTTCCTTCTCTAATTTTGGATTATGATCTGACGCTGGAAAAGTCGAGCAGCATTAAGATGATTTCATTTCACGGGCGCGTCGTGTTGAAATAAATTCAGTCCTCTCTCTCTCTCTCTCTCTCTCTCTCTCTCTCTCTCTCTCTCTCTCTCTCTCTCTCTCTCTCTCTCTGACCTCTGGATGAGACGCTGCGGTCAGCGTCTCTCCTCCAGCGCCTGTCGACTCAGAGTAGGTGATGTGCACTTGTGACTAACTCTGTCGATTATCCTTCTCGCCAAAAACCTCTCAATGTGTGTGTGAGCGTTAATGTGTGTGTGTGCGTGTGTGTGTCCGATTCAATCCTCGATCAGCTCTTAAGACATGTGTGCAAATATCCAGAGCTCTCATCTGGTTTGATTTTTAGGATGATTGCGGTTCAGTGTGTTCAAACTCTGTCACATTGAGGTTGTTAAATGTTGTCATCATTAATATATTTTTGGGTCGCTCTCCTGATTATCACTTATTGACAAATAGCTCTGGCTGATGCGCGCTGAAGTCGGCCAGTTTCTCCTTCTCGGGGTCTCTGAGGGACTCGGAGTGTTTCTCGAGGTTTAGATCAGGAACATGTGGACTCGCTGGTTTTATCCCAGATTATCCATTCCAATCTAAATGTGTTGGCTCCTTCTGAAGTCATGCAAATCGTCCTTTTCATTTTAGACACATGGTGAATTTCAAACGAAGAATTAGGAAAACTTTTCTTGCACAGTGTCAGATCATCAGCGTGCTGTTAGCATGCACATGTTTCATTTAAAGGCACAGTGTGTAAAGTCCACCACCAGGGGGCTCTCAATGAAAAAAAGAGTCTGTTGGGGCCCGAGGCAATTGGATTCTGAGGCGTTCCCAGACCAGACAGGATGTATAATCCCTCCAGAGAACTCTGGGTCTACCTCGGGGTCTCCTCCCAGTTGGGCATGTCCAATCAGATGCCCAAACCACCTCAGCTGGCTCCTTAAGATGTGGAGGAGTAGCAGCTCTACTCCGAGCTCCCTCCCAATGCCTGAGGTCCTCACCCTCTCTCTAACGCTGAGCCCAGACGACCTCCAGAGGAAACTCATTTCGGCTGCTTGTATCCGCGATCTTATTCTTTCAGTCCCAAAGCTCATGACCACATGTGAGGGCTGGAACAAGGATCGACCGGTAAATCGAGAGCGTTGCCTTCAGGCTCAGCTCCCTCTTCACCAAGACCGTCCGGCACAACGCCTGCATTCATCCTGACTCTGAGCCAATCCCATTTCTGCCGCTTCATAATCACTCTTAGTCTGGTCCCTCCCCCGATAAACATTTTGTACTATATTTGACTTTTTATAGATTGAACCAAACATCGATCAAGACAAAACTGACATCAAGTTTATCAAGATCAAAATGAAGCTCAGTTGAAACACTCCTCTGACCTCCTGAGTTCATATTTGACCTCCAGCACATCACCTTACGGTTTGTCGTTTTGAGATGCATGAATGCACTTTTTTTCAGTTGCGATCCGATTCCGACACATAATCACCCATACCGATACTTATTCCTATATTTTTATTATCATAACTAATAATGTTGCTGTTATGTTTAAGGCTACACAAAGCTAGAGTAAACCTGTCATTGTATTAGATTTTCATGCTTCACAGTCACAGAAGCAGCAACAACTTTTCAAATTAAAGGTGTAAGAATTTTAATTTTTATTACATGGGAGCTGTTCCATCTCATCTGATCGTCGTCATGGAGATGATTTGTGGACACTTCTTACAGCTCAGTCTGAGCGTCTTCAGAGTGAGATTGTTCAAGCTGAGAATGTTTAAAACGCCCGACCATTTTTCTTCAGTGACGTAGATCGGAGCCATCAGTCCGATATCCGATCCGTAAATTACATCAATATCGGACCCAGTATAAGATCGGATCTGTCCCATCTCTGTTGTCATCCTCATGGAAAAGTGTTCCTAACAAAAACCTTCTTTTCTCTCTCAATCTTCAAATCTTGCCGGGAAAATATTTTTATGTCGTGCAAATGTTTTTATCAAATCATGAAGAAGTGAAGAAGTAGTCCCAAAGTGACGGCCCGTTGATCTCTCTTGTTTTCAGACTTCATGGAACAGCTGTTCTTTGAGTTCTTTACTCTGAAGGCCTCAGTCATGCAGTTATATGATTCAAGCTCTTTTTGCTCTCCTGTCTCCTCGTGTTCATGCTGTGAAGTTTCTGCCTTAAAGCACCAGCAGATAACAGGACGTACACAAAGTCACTCGTCAGCAAAATGACACCTTACACTTTGTGTGTTGTATTCTTGATACAGGCGTGCAGGTTTAATGTAAAGTCTTGACTGTCAGTGTTGCACACAAAAGAAGAAATAAGTGTTCAATACAGCAGAGGGGAGATTTTCAATTCTCCACTGACGTCTAAATCGAGGCTGAGATTTATAATTCAGGAGACAAATGATGCAAACAAGTTCACATTCCAGCTATCTACGTGCATTTTCTCCTCTGTCTGCAGAATGTGAACATGTGTTAGTGTGTGTGTGTGTGTGTGTGTGTGTGTGTGTGTGTGTGTGTGTGTGTGTGTGTGTGTCTGTGATCAGCGCAGCATTCCTCAGTAACAGCCGCAGGCCAGCAGATTCTCTAAATAGCCTCTGGATCTGTGCCGCTCTCCCCGATCTGCAGAGGCGATGTGATTCTCTCTGAGCTCAGGTGGAGTGTCGGCGCCTCCTAGTGGTCTCAGGCTGATTCAGTGTCATGACATGTTTACACACAAGGATCATAACTGTTCACTTTGGGTGCTCTCTTTACTCTACACTCACTTTTTCTGCTCGCTCGAGGTTGGGCTTTTGATGCCTTTATTTGATTGGACAGTGGATAAAGTAGAGTAGGCTGCACAGGGGTGCAGTGGTTAGTGCTGTTCCCTCACAGTGAGGAGGTTCCTGGTTTGAACCCGTGTGAGTCTCTCTGTGTGGAGTTTGTTCTCCCCGTGCATGTGTGACTCTAAATTGTCTGTAGGTGTGAATGTGAGTGTGTCTGGTTGTCTGTCTCTATATGTCAGCGCTGTGATTGGCTGGTGAACAGTCCAGGGTGTAACCCCGCCCCTCGCCCAATGACAGCTGGGATCAACTCCAGCTCCTCCCTCAATCTGAACAGGAAAAGGTGTCGAAGTTAATTAATGGATGGATGGATAGTCAGAAATTAGGGACAGAGAGAGTGTCTTTAATGGAGAGATATGACGGTGGATAGAGTTGGAAATCAGGGAGAGAGAGAGAGTGGGGAATGACATGGCAGGAAAGGAGCCACAGGTGGGATTCAAACTTGGGCCGCTTTGAGGACTACAGCCTCCATACATGGGGCACATGCACTAACCACTGAGCCACCAGCGCCCTGGTTTTGTTTTGTTTTTTAACAGTTTTTTTTGTTTGATGGATGTTTGGATGTGGAAAGACAAAGTGATCAAATCTCTCACACATTCACAGCTCTGACTGAGGCTTCAGCTGCCTGTTGTCCACACACACACACACACACACACACACACACACACACACACACACACACATGCTCCTGTCTCAGATTCTTGGCATGACTTCCTCATGGTAAAAAAGGAAACATCCCCCCCCCCCCCCATAATCCCCTGCTCCCTGCCTGTGCGCCCATCTCTGACCTCCTGAAACAAACCCGAGCTGAGAGGAGCTCGAGTTCACTTTATCATTCTGTGTGTTGCTGTGTGAGAGAGCAGAACACCTGATCTGAGTTCTGTATCAGACAAACACGCTGTTACGCTGCATTAAATGGGGGGCTGCTGCGATGCCCCCTTCCAAAGAACCCCCCGTGCTCATGTCTAACGCCGCTTTCCCTGGTTGTCGCACTATCTCGCAGCACCTGAACGACCTGAAGAAGGAGAACTTCAGCCTGAAGCTCAGGATCTACTTCCTGGAGGAGAAGATCCAGCAGAAGTTCGAGGAGAGCGGCGATGACGTGCACAAGAGGGTGAGTCGGGAGCGTTCAGCTTCATCAAATCTGCATGAAAATGATTTTAAAAATAAAAATGTGTGCATGAAGCGTTTCTGTAGATATCTGCTGTGAGGTGCAGTCGGGCTGTGTTGTTTTTCTGAGCTGCAGGTTTGTCCCTGACACTGATCAGTACTGACAGCAGCTCTCAGGCTGCTCCGCTACACTTCACACAAACTGTCAGTCAAAACTTTTCTGCCCGTCAGAGACTCACAGACGCAGAGAGCTTCACTTTGTCTCGGTATTTTAAGAGCAAACTGCGCAGCTGCTTCAGGCCTCTCAGCAACCCTGAAATCCTTTTATGATTCCTCCTCAGAGCTCAGACGAGTATTTGTGTTTATTCATTTGTGAGAGTTAAAGTGATAAAGATGCGGTGCAGAAATCTTGCATGTAATATTTCTACATATACTGAATATAAGAAGTGGAACAAGCAGACTCTTGTGATGCAAAAGTGCCTTAAAGCTGCATTCTTTCTACCGCCCAGCAGGGGGTGGAAGCAAAAAGACATAAAGGTTGTAAAAAGGTCGTACTTGTCAGTTGATTGATTCCCTCAGTAAACATTTTCTTAATGAGTTTACGGTCTCTATCTCAAGTTTAAAGTCTTTTTTAACACAGCATGATGTTCATTTAGTAAATGATGGTCTCATTTAGAGTCCAAGAGAACAGAAAGAGGGGGAGGAGTTAGGGCGGGGCTACCTGTGAATCTAAGTCGACCCTCTCATTCAATATATTTCCTTCTGGCTCCAAAAAATCCAACATTGTGTCAAACGTGAAGCTTCAAAATCAACTGATGTTTTCATTGTTTCCTTAAACACAACCAGGTGTCTCTGGAGGGGGAATTAGTGGCTAAATACAAAACCTCTTAACCGCCCTCCAACCTCCCAAACAACATCACATTGGTTGAATATTGGTGCGCATCAAGAGGCTAAATCATCATCCAACGATAGCCGGTGGATTTTGATGTTGTTAGCAAAGGAGAGGATGAAACAGTCAGGAGGAATGAGCGATTTCAAATCACTACATCCACCAGAAGGTGTGGATCATGAAGGCTTAAATGTGTTCAATCAATATAGACTGATTTTGGTTTGACGAGGTTAGCTGCAGATGACACACACATGATCCCCATCCAGACTCTCTGATTCTGTCTCTGAGATTCAAGAAGGACCTCTCTGATATCAGCCATGTGTCTTACAGCAGGTCGATCAATTTACACCTGCAGATAGAAGAGAGACTCTCCTGTAAACGCTGTGCATGGCCTGCTGAGATAAATCTAGTCTAGAGTCATAAAACCCACAGAGACCAGCGCTGGTAGACCATGAAAGGTGAGCGTTGATAATCACAGTCCACTGGGTCTTTAGTGTCACACTCTTAAGTGTGTTTTTTCCGGGCTTATCAAAGGCGAGGTGTGAAAGCTGTTCTGTTTGTGAGTGTGTGTGTGTTTCCATCATGATCTCACTCTGAGCTGCGCCTGACCCCAGAGGAGAACTGTTTACTGTAAACTCTGCCCGACTCTGAGGAAGGAACCGCGACGGCTCTGTGAAGCTCGGACATGAAAGCATAGCTGAAGCTCTTTCTTAATAGAAAAAAAGAAAATCAGTTTTCTCTGTGAAATCGGAGAAAAATATGCAGAAAAATAAAGACTCTGCAACCGACAGAGCAGTGTGTCTGAGGAGCCCCTCATGTCCGCCCCCTGCAGAATCTCTCTGTGCTACTACACATCCAGTGACCCACATAATGTTAACATGAGACCCCCCCCCCCCCAGGCCTGCTGTATGCACACTGTACATGCATCCCTCTAGTTATATTTCAACATGAGTGTCTGTAAACTGCAGGTTACAGTATCAGCAGCATCTGTGTTGTGTGTCAGTGTGTCAGTGATCGACCTGCTGACCTTTACTGACCTGAAAACTAAAAACTGCTCATGTGCAGATACCTGCACATGAGCAGCCAGTTCAGTCCGGTTTGTTTCGGCGCTCAGAGCCAAAAGTTAAAAGTGGAGGTGTTGCTGGGCGCAGAGGGGAAGAGGGGGGGTGGGGGGGGGGGAGTTAGGGATATCAGACTGGAGAGGGGCTGCAGAGGAGACACATTCAGCAGGTGCTCATATCCACACCAGATATTTATAGTCCTGCAGAGCTCCCTGAAAATCAGGTCAGCACGTGAAGCTCGAGGAAGACCGTTTATATTTCTCTCTGTGCAGATGAAAAAAACACTGGAGAGGAAATATGTTTACTTTCTGCACAACATACAGTTTGATAAACACGATCATTCCTCTGCTGAGTCAGATCGTGTTCCTGAACACCCTGGAGTGAGTCGATGTGCTCAAACCAGCGTCTTCAAATCAACCTTGATACTTCACATGTTTTTAGAATCAGAGTCAGAATCAGAATCTGGGTTTATTACCAAGTACATTTACACATACAAGGAATCTGACTTGGTGTGTTGGTGCTAAACAATTAACAAGGAAATAAAGCAGAACTAACAACAACTTAAATAATACAGAATAAGAAGATATTACAATATATAAAATAGAATTTAGAAACGTAAAATATAAAAAACACAAAATGTCGATGAAATCAAAGCTTGATGAACGACCACAGTCTGTAGTTTTTATGATAACGTGCTTCAATGTTTACGTCTCATAAGAAAGCTCCAGACATCTCCGTCCTTGTCTTGTGTGTCTTTTGGTTTGTTATTAGATTTTTAGAATATCCTGTCCTCTGGCTGTGGACGGGGTTACCTGTTAGTTATGTGTTCTGTACTCACCTGTGTGCAGCACTCTGCAGGTGTGTGTTTCAAACAGTCTGATATATTTACCGTGTAGATTTACCTTGAAGTTAACTTGTAGCATTGATTTAACTTTATGGATACTTCACGTTTGCACACAGACTCAAAGTGATGAGCAAACTGTAAACTTATTTTTCATGCATCAAGAGTTATTATGTTGCTTGGATTCTGATGTTGGTCTGGTTTTTGTTTGACTTCTTTTTCTGTTGTTGTTGTTGTTGTTGTTGTTGTCGTTGTTGTTGTTGGTTGGAGTCATTTCAAGGCTGCTTTTGTTGTTTTTTTGCGACTATTGTCAGCATGTAGCTCCGCCTCATTGACGACCTCGGAGATTCAGACCTTCCTAGGAATCATTGATTTAGTTTACTGCATCACGCTCTTCTTCTTCTTTGTTGGATTTATTGGCGGTCTACACGTTGTGGCACTGCTGTGTTTAGTGATGTGTGGGGGAACGGTTGGCTGAAGAAAACCCAAGAAAGTTCAGGGTTTACTGTACCAAAGCTGACCGCCTGGTGGAAACGGGGCTTATATGTGAGCCCTTTCATTGGCTGGTGAACCGTTCAGGGTGTAACCCCGCCTCTCACCTAATGACAGCTGGAAATCGGCTCCAGCCCACCGCGACCCCGAACGTGAAAAGTGGAATAGATAATGGATGGATGACCTTTGTATGCATGATTCAATATTCCATTTGGACAAAAACGGTCTGTTTGATTTATTCAGCATCAGGTGAACATCAGGTTTTTAATCTGTATGTTTAGAAATATAAAAGATACATCTACTATATTTTCTCAGCATCCCCCGACATGTTCTCACATCATCTATGTCAAGTCTTTTAAATCAGAAATATCTTCAAACCCCGCTCCTTCATTTAATCTGGTTTTTACTCCTTCTTGGATTCTTCATAAAGCTTGACACCTTTTTTAGGCCATTTTTCATGTAATTAGAAAAAGAGTATATACTGTTTTTGGGATACATGATTCTTATCTTTATCTGTATTTTCATGTCTGCACACGTTTATTTTCATGCTTGTGTGTGCACATCTGACCATGCACACGTGTCTAGTTGTGTGAATGCTGCGTGCATTCTACAGAAGTTGTGATTTCCTAAAATGCACAAACATGATATTATTTTATGAAATAGTCTAAATGCTTCTTGTTCCTCTGTGAAGCCCTCTGAATCCCCCGGTGTCTGAAAGGTGCGACATGAATACCCTCGTCTTGCCTTTCAGCTCTGATCGTTTTCTTCGTCTCTTTTCTTGCAGAATATCGAGTTGAAGGTTGAAGTGGAGAGTCTGAAGAATGAGCTGGAGGAGAAGCAGCAGCTTGTGGACAAAGCTCTGTGAGTATCTGACTCCTTCCTTCTTTCCTGCTTTGATTCATTAATTTTTCAGTCGCCATGACGATGTGAGTTTGAGATCCCCCAGGCCGTAAACCTTCAAATCACTGCATCGCTCACCTGCAGGAAATAACAAATAACACCTTTTAAAACGGTCTTTAATTAATTCAAAGGTGTTTGCAAATCTTCAGCTGCTTGAGCTGAACGGACTTGTTGAGAAACCTTCAGGGACGTCTGACAGAGAACTACAAAAACACTCTTTATCTGTAGTTCTATTATTTCCAACGAGTCCATCAGTTGATCAGAAGCCGGGCGGCCTGGAGACTCACCTCACTATCACAACACGGGGCTAAGCTATGAGGGATGCCATGTAGGGGTTCAGCTGTGAGGGATGAAGAGGATGAAGTGGATCTGTGTTTCTGGGGGGGGGGGGGGGGTTGTGTTTTAAAGGGGGGGGGGGGGGGGTGCAGAAAGTAGTGGAGCAGGCGGGGTAAAGGGCAGAGGTGTCTTGTGGTTTGTTGTGCTGCTGAGTGGAGGACTATTTGAGCTGCAGCACCTGTCTGTGACGCAGCTGTCTGTGACTTTAACAACATTCAGTCTGCTCACTACAGCGTATATTCACTCACACTTTTACAGTATGAAGCAAACTACTCGAAATGTCAACTCTATTTAAGTATGTTCAAAAAAAGTTTAAAGCGCTCATACTGTTACTGATTTCACACATGCACAATACTCCTGAAAGTTTTCAGGCTGCGCGTCATGTCACACAAACAGCTGAATGTTTCTCTCTGACATGATCTGGAGTTTCTCCTCCAGCGCACACGTCCCCATGTATGGAGGCTGTGGTCCAGCGAGCGGCCCAGGTTCAAATCCAACCTGTGGCTCCATTCCTGCACGTTATTCCCCGCTCTCTCTCTCTCCCTGGTTTCCAACTCTAACGGCCAAAAATAAAATCTTTAAAAATATATATATAAATGTTAACTCTACATTAGGAAATTAAGGAGAGGCCGGGGAGTCAGGAGCATGTGTGAACTTCACATCTTTATTTCGGCTTTAAGAGGAAACCAAAGAGACGATGGAGGTCTCCATTTTTATAGAATATTGGTGATTAAAACTTGTATATACATTACTGCAGGTTTCAGACCTTTCAGCTGAGTTTGTCTGTTGATTTGTGTCTTTATATATTTCTGTTGATCATGTTTAACCCCGTCATGCTCACAACTCTGCTCATGTTAAACTCTGCTCTGCTGGCTGAAGAGAAAACAGCATTAGCTCGCAGTACAGGCAGTAATTAGTTCAATTAGTCAGTTAAGATCTTTGTCAAAGTAAAGGGGGGGGGGTTCAGCTCCGAGGCGTTTTCTTTCTCTCTCTCTCTTTCATAAATAAACTGGGAGGCCGCGGTGTATCATCAGAGCTGTTAACACAGGCTGACTGATGGAAGCTGCTTCAACATTAACCCCCCTCCCCTCTCCTCCTCCTCGTCCCCCCTCAGAGGGTCGGGAGACGTTTCAGCTTGGGGTCCATGTTTCAGCCCCCCTGCAGACAAAGTTCACTCTGCTCAAGTCGTTTGAGTTTCCCTCTACTGTGGTCCTTTTGTTTGCTCAGAAGGTTTTTTGTGATCCCACGAGCAGAAGTCGATTACATTTCCTCCATCACATTAAACACTCGGAAAGTTTCAGTGTGGATAAAGATCCAGCAGCATCACCGCAAGGTCTTTTATAAGACGATTATTGTGCACATGAAATGAATACAAACTTTTCCATCACTAAAATAAAAATTTAATTTCAGGGGGAAACCGTAGAGGCAATATTTCACAAATCAAACGCTGCTTTTTATTGAGTTTATTTATCCAAATATTTGCCGTCTGCCTAAAGGATTGTGACCTGATCTACATAAGTTACTCATAGTGTGCGAGTTCTCGAGATCTTGGTCTCAAGACTCCCGTGATTCCCCGCCAGCCTCGACGTCACCTTTTGTTATTGTATCCCAGAGCCCCCTGGTGGTGGTATCTACATACTGTGCCTTTAAGAGATGTGTCACTAAATAAAGAAGACATCCAGCTCAAGTTTTGTGATATTTAGTGTCTGATAATATCACTCTGTCATAGGTCGACGGCGGAGAGCTTGTCCAATCAGAGCGAAGCAGAGCTGCAGCGTCGCCTGGCGGAGCGTCAGGAGGAGATCAGCCACATGCAGGAAATCCTGCAAACCAAAGTTCAGCTGCTGCAGGAGGTACACACACACACACACACACACACACACACACACACACACACACACACACACACACCAGGTACATTCAGGATGACTTTAACCCTCTCGTGCTGTCTGTGCTGTGTGCAGGAGGCGGAGTTAGCGCGCTCTGAGGCTGAGCGCATGGCCTCGCTGGCGGACTCTGAGTCTCAGCGCTGCCTCGCTCTGGAGAGAGAGATGGTGGAGAGGATGGAGGAGAGGATGGAGGAGAGCGGCGGCTCAGGTGGACCGTTCACCCAACACGCTGTGGCCGACAAAGACAGGTGAATTTATGTGACATAAGAAAACAATTCAGTTTCAGTCAGCTTTGTTTCTCCACCTCAAGACACCTTCTTTCCCTTTACTTCACCTTTCTTGCACATGCTCAGTCTGCAGTGGCTTTCTTTTATCCTGGGAGGTGTCTGGTGGCGATATCGTTACTATTCTCAGCTCAGTGTTCTCTGATACGGCTGCTGACTCTGATATCGACTGACCTTGTCACTAACAGCATCGTGACGTGAACAAAAACCAGAGCTGCAAACTGTAACTAACCCCTGACAGTGAACTTCACCACAGCTGTGACCTTTTTAACCTGTGTGCCTCTCTCTCTCTCTCTCTCTCTCTCTCTGTCTCTGTCTCTCTCTGTCTCTGTCTCTGTCTCTCTCTCTCTCTTTCTGTCTCTGTCTCTCTCTCTCTGTCTCTCTCTCTCTGTCTCTCTGTCTCTCTCTCTCTGTCTCTGTCTCTGTCTCTGTCTCTCTGTCTCTGTCTCTCTCTCTCTCTCTCTCTCTCTGTCTCTGTCTCTCTCTCTCTGTCTCTGTCTGTCCGTCTCTCTGTCTGTCTCTCTCTCTCTCTGTCTCCGTCTCAGGACGATCGAGGAGTTGAAACAGCAGAAACATTCGCTGGGTCTCCAAGTCGAGGAGCTGGAGGTCAAAGTGCACAATCTGTCTTCTTCTCTCGAAGAGAAAGAAGCGGAGGTACTTTTGCTACATCACCACACCCTCCAAATGTTAGAGAAACACACACTGGACTAAAGGACGTCACATTTGTTCATGCAAAAATGTCCATTTGTTTAAAATCAGAGAACTTCAGTCAGGATGAAAGTTTAAACGTTGACTCGTTTTAGCTCGATGGAACACAGAGAGGTTAAAGCTGCGGTTCTGAACCCAAAGTTTGGGCTTTTGCCATCCAGCTGTTTTGAAGCAGAACCGCGTCAGAGGGCGGAGCTGGAGAGAAGTTGGTTAAAGGTTAAAAAGTCTGTGCATGTATAGATTATTTACTAGCTGACCATAAAGAGAGAGAGCAGCAGAATTCAATTAATGTTTAAGGATTCAAAAAGTTACAAAAGCCTAGAGAGGAGCAAATGCTAAGCTAGCAGCTAACGCACTGTGCTAGCTTGGTTAGCATGGTGCATCACAGTATTTGGGATATAAATCTGAAAAGCTCATTTTTGCAAGAGGAAAGAAAGGCTTCGGACAAAATGTTTTTCAAATTTCTTTTAGCAAAACTGATTGCTGAACAAGACTTTTCATGTCGTTGTGGCAGCAGCTTGTCAATCACAGGTAGCCCCGCCCTGACTCCTCCCCTGCTTTCTGGTCCGTTTGTCTCAAAGTGGGATCATAAGTGACTAAATAAACATCGTGCTGTGTTGAGGAAGACTTGAAACTAGACATTGAGACAGTAAACTAATTATTATAAAGTTACTGGGAGGATAAATCAGCTGAGAATTAGGAACATGTTGAGCCTTTTTGTGACTTGCTGATTCGCCCCCTGCTGGCCGTTAGAAAGAATGCAGATTTAAGGCCTCCCTTTGGAATCCGATTCTAAAAACAGTCTATGGTTAAAGCCTTAAATCCAGGTCAGGTGTGAGCCGGGCAGGCTAAATTCTTCATCGGGTTGTCTCCACTTTTCTTCTATCTTTGTGTTCTGGCTCAGTCCCTCAGACGTCCACATGTGGGTCAGTGGAGCTCTGGCAAAGCTGCACACAGGGGAAGATAAAAACACAAACAGTCTGCATGGTTATTTTTACATCAGAGTGGGTCGCTGTCAGGGGCTCAAACTCCACTTTACATCATGTATTTTTAATTCTTATAGATACTGTGTGTGTTACCTGATACAGCTGCTGTTATTTCTGTGGTCCAGACATCCAAACGCAACACACATCAGTAAAGAATAGAGCAGGGTGAGCTCTGAACTGGAAAAAACTGGGTCAAAGTAGGGTTTCTGGGACAAGAACCAACGACCGGTGCATGGAGGGCGAGAGGCTTGAAGAGGTCAAAAAGCTCCAGTAACACTTTTCAAACAAACATCAACCTTATCAGACTGAAGAGTTTCAGCTTGTGCCCTTCATCAGTGGCACGCTTTGACTGCAGGACTTTGCAGAAGTGAAAAAACCCTGCAGTACCTCGAGTGTCCACTAGAGGCTGGCTGCAGAAGCACAGGAAGTCACATACACACCCATTCTAAAAAGCCTGTTTTTACAGCAGAGATGAACATGTTTACAGCCTGGTTCAAAAAACCAAATAGGTCTGATTAGTTATTGTACGATGGGACTCCAGCGCCCCCTGCAGGAAGAGATGGGTGACGTCACTCAGGCTTCAAACATTAATATTTACAGTCTATGTTCAAAACTAGAGAAACGTTTAAGCTCAATATATCAAATGCATCTTATTTGAAATGTAAATGTTTTTCTCTTTGTCCACAGAGCCCTGGTGATCACAGAATCCAAGAAAAGATGCAGGTAAGACAAACATGAATGAAATATGAAATATGTTTACACCTGAAATAAACACCCAGCTCTTTACACTCATAACAACACACACACACACACACACACACTGACTGATTTAGGGTGTTCTCTTGGGAGTGAATTGCACCACATGAAGACAAGTTCTCACCAAAAGCAAATAGAGAGGCAGCGCCCCCTGGTGGATCTTCATCAGCACTGCATGCAAGAGACTAAGACAGGACATGAAAACTCGTTAAAATTAACAGAAGTGTTCTAACCTCTCTCCATTTTTCAAAAGCATCTCCAATATTGATCCTAGTTTGAGCACGTTTCTGCTCGTGGAGCTTATTAGAAACATGCATTAGAAACATGCAACACCTGTTGACCTGATAACTGCTCTCATATCTGACAAACTGAGGGGCGTCCAAAACGGCTCATCATGCCTCCTCACTGATGCACATCTCTCCGTCTGCTGGATGTTTAAACACAGAGATTTAATTCACAAAGCGGCTGCACGGAGAGAATCTGAAACATTTGGGAGAAGACTTGTCTTCATTGTGCGTCCGTGTTAATCCTCCGCTGTCACACTTTTGGTTTTTCTGCCACTCTGAGAAAAGTAAACAGAGTGAGAGGTCTGTCAGCAGTGTTTGGCACATATCTCTGATTAGGATTAATTGATATTTGATTGCCTGGCTCATTCCAGCAGATCAGTGTTTTGGTGTTGTGTCTCCAGAGGGCTCTTAGGCTGACGGATGTGAACACAGTCAGAGTCAGAGGAGGTCGACACACACACACACACACACACACACACACACACACACACACACACACACACAAATCAGATGTGAGAACAGCTTTGTCAACAACTCATCCATCCTGCAGCGAAGATTAAAGACAGATGAGGAACTCGTCTGTGGGAAAACGATCCTGAAAGTGTCAGTTTAAAAAAAATGACATCAGCTTTTAATGAGCGCAGAGTACAGGTTCATGTGATTCACCGACACCCCTCCCCCTCCTCTTGTAACTGTGTGACATTCTCGTGTGGGCCGGTCCAGGACTCGGCGCCCCTGGGAAACACATGAACTCATTCCACGCTGACGATTCAGAGAATTTAATGAAGCTGATGGAAAACAGTCCAGCCTTGTTTCTGCAGGTCACTCCCTGCACGCAGACTTAGACTTCATAGAGACTGAAAATGTTGCTGCACGATGTTGAGTTATTAACGATCTGCAGAGAGAGAGAGAACGTAAATATTTAATCCCACTGAAGTTTGTGCAGAAAGCCCTTTTTGTTCCAGATGTTGGAGGTTGAACGCAGCAGATTGCACACACTCTCTGACATGTTGGTGCAAAACAACAAGCACAAAATACACTCGTGAAATAAGTAACTTGAGGCTTTAAAGCTCTGAAGTGAAACAAACCAAGGCACTAATGTGTATGCATGAGGCAAACAACAAAGATGTCCTCCTATCTGTATGAAAAACTCAAAATAGAAAATCTTCATCTCGGATCTAGGATGGTAAATCCAGTCGTAAATATCTATCTTTAAGGGACTACGGTGGCCATAAGAGATCATGCATCCTTACATTTTATCATACTCCTTTTTTTCTGTGATAACAAACAACAGCGTTTACCGTTTTCTAGAAATCTGGAGGAGTTAGCTTAGCGTTGATGTCTCAATATAACGAGATAAACGAGTAGAGAGCTCAAGAAAACAGCTGACATTTACTTCTTAGCAAACAGATATTTTTTTTTATGTATGGATGTTTGTCCTTTAAGTGATTTTTTTTTTTTTAAATAACTTTTTGGATGTTTTTTCTTCTTGAATTTACAAACTGTGATCCAAATGTTGACTGAGCTCTAGTATGAAACTGGACAGAGACTAAAATAACACAAGAAACAGGCTTTGAGAAGCTCTCAAAATGATGTAACAAATATTTGTAATTCGGGCTCTTCTAAAGGAAAGGGTTTTGATTTATTACAGACAAGAGAGGGGGATTCATTTGTTGTGTAAGATGAATTCCAAGTGCTCATTAAAGGCAGACAGTTGGTGCATCAGAGGGCGGGGCTCAGAGACCCTCCCGTTCCCTGTAGAATGGTTCAGTCCAGACAGATGCAAGAGGTCTCACTCTGACACAAATTTAGAAGACCGGAAATAAATTACTCATCAACTGTTTGTCCGTGTTTGAAGCTTTAATTTGTTTGTAAGATGTAAGAACACAAAATCAATGAGCGATAGAAATGAGAAGTGGACTCATGTAAACTGTTTGATCTTTTTATTGAAGGATTACTCAAAGGGTTAATTAAGAGACTTTAAAAATTGTACACATTGGGATCATTATTGTTTCCTTTTTATCTTCTAGTATCTCTTTTAAAATACTTTAACTGTTGAATGTCTGCTCGTCGCCAACTGGTTATTAGGTTACACAAACACAATAAATAGGCAGAACAGATGAAAGAAAAGATAAAATACAACTAAATAAATCAATAATATAAACTGTAACCCAGATAGAAATAGTACATTTTGTAAAAAGTTGTGGAAAAGCAGAATAGCCGAGCTTAAAAAAAAGTGAATATCGTACTCGAATGTATTAAAATTGAACCTGGATGTTACTGTTTTTGTTGAGCGATAGGACAGTGAATAGATTCAGAGATCAGGGAGAGAGAGAGAGAGAGAGAGAGAGAGAGAGAGAGAGAGAAGCCACAAGTTGGGTTTAAACCTGGGCGTACCACTTGGAGAACTACAGAAGTGGGGCACACACACTCACCGTGGTAATGAATTGACATCGACGTCACCTCTTCCTCCTTGCCCCCTCTGCCTCCCTACCTGCATCCCCCTCTGCCTCCTTACCTGCATCCCCCTGCCTCATCGCCCAGCCACTGTCTCAGTTCTCCCGTCTCCCCTAATGAACTGTCAATCATCACTGCAGGTATGAAAAGCTCAACCAGTGTTCTCGACCCCATCCCGTCCAATCTGGTCAAAAACTGGTCTCCCCGCCATCTCAACCTCTCATAACCACAATCATCCACTCCTCAAGTTCAAGTTCAAGTTCAAGTTATCTTTATTAGTCAAGTGCACAACATAACAGGCAAAGCAGTCATAGCTGGCAATGACATTGTTGTGTTCCAAGCTCTCCTTAACAAAGCATAAATAAAAACCATAGTGTAAGATAAGAGTAAAAAGAGTCACAACATACAGGGCAATTAAGAACCAAAAGTTTAAATAAAACTAGAATATATGTACAGTGTATATATATAAAATATAAATATGTATGTACAGAATATATATATATATATATATATATATATATAACAATAAAGTAAAGTGTCTCAGACAGTATCTGTGTAGTGCAGTGGCATACAGTGAACAGTAGTATGCTTGTGTTATGCTCCCTCTGCTCCTGTTGAGTCCAACAAACACTCAGACCTGCAGCAGTCATCCCCATCCTTCTATTAGATCTCTTCATTTTTTAATAATGCACAGTGTGTTTGAGTTCTTGGAAATGAAGACAAAGCTGCAGCCAGCGCCCAGGACTAGTTTCAGCTGCGGAGTGAGACGTCTTCTTACGTAGAGACGATCTTTGGTTTCTGTCATCGTTCTCTCTCGGTGTGAAAGCGGCTCGAGCTCTGACAGCCTCTCCCTCCATCCACAGCTGATGAGGCCGCTGAGGGTGAGGAGGACACCGGGCAGGGACACTGACCGTCTCCGGTCAATTCACCGAACACTGAAACCGGTCGACGAGAAACAAAGATCGCTTCTGATTTCCCGTGTTCCGTGTCGGATTCCACCGGGTGCAGCTGCTGCAGCGGGGGAGATGCTGCAGCCTGCAGGGAGGCGTCATCGATTTGAAGGCGTTAAAACACAAACAGGACTTTCACGGAGAACCGGGAGGATTCTAAAAACCGGATCGATGTGTCATCACATGTCCGAGAGGAAGTGAAAATGTGACCCTCAGCAACATCCGCCTCTCCGCCTGGAAATCATCTCTGAATTAAAGCTTCAGATCACGTTTTCCAGTCAGCGTGACACCACGAGATTTGGATTTTTCTTCTCGCTGCAGCTTCCTCGTTTTATCTCCATCATGAAGTTCTCCGGATTTATTTGTGTTGAAAACATGAAACTAAGAATCTGAGCACTTGTGACTTTGATACAAGGACTGATATTAATGTTAAAAATCTAATTTTAAACTTCAGATTTGAGATTTAAACTTTTTTGTTGACAAAAAAAATCCCCCCAGGTCTTTAGAGTTGCTGAGCTGGAGTTTTTGGCCAGATCACATATTCTCTTCCTTTACATTTTCAGTCTAAAAAATGTAAACAAATATATTTTTAAATGAGAGCAGATGGTGATCTGACACAGGAAAACTAAGGACGGTGGCTTTGGAGGGACAAAAACACATTAAAGCATCTCTGAACAAGAAAAGGAACTCTTGAACGAGATTTTGATGTTTCAGAAATTTTGTAAATTTAAAAAAAATAAAATCTTAGGAGGAAGACGCACCTGAAAAACGTTTGAACCGCCATCCAAAGAAACTGTCGCACCTTTATAGACAACTCAACATTTAAAAGGTGACGTCACTTTGTGCGATGTTGGACCCGGTGAAGATGAAGGAGTCGTGCAGGATCTGCGCCCGCGAGCTCTGCGGCAACCAGCGCCGATGGATTTTCCACCCGGCGGCCAAGGTGAACCTCCAGGTGCTGCTCTCCCACGCTCTGGGCCGCGAGCTGAGCCGGGACGGGCGCGGCGAGTTCGCCTGCTCCAAGTGCACCTTCATGCTGGACCGGATGTACCGCTTCGACACGGTCATCGCCCGCGTGGAGGCGCTGTCCTGGAGCGCCTCCACAAGCTGCTGCTGGAGAAAGACCGGCCGGCTCAGGCAAGTGCATCGGGGGACTGTTCCGCAAGAACAACGCCGAGGAGGACGGGAATAACGCGGGACAAACCCGGCGCCGTCATGGAGGTCATAGTGACGGAGGCGGGGTCTGAGGACTCTCCTGTGGTGGATCTGTCCGCCCTGCAGGATGTGAGGTACTCCGACATGATCCAGGACGACCTCACCTACTCTGTGTATGAATCCTGGGCCGATAAGGAGGACGCCACCCCGAACCGAGCAAAACACCCACCAGCACCACCTCCTCCACTGCCCCGCCGGAGACGCTCTCTCCCGGGGCAGAAGCCGCGGCGCTGTAGGGGTGCGGGCGCTGCGGGTGCGGGTCGCTGATTCCGACTATGAGGCGGTGTGTAAGGTGCCGCGGAAGATCGGGCGCAGGAGCACATCCTGTGGCCCGTCTACACGCTACTCGCCGTCCAATCAGGGAGCGGAGGATGCTGCTCGATCCTCTGAGGCGTCTGACACCACCACCAGGTCGCCTTCGAGTCCTCTTTAGCGGACACCGATAAGACCCTGTGTGACAGGACGACCCCCAGCATGGCGTCCTCCGTAGAATCTCTGGAAACCGCCGTGGACGCGGCCGCACTCCGGTGAACCCCAAAGAGAGAGAAGAAGACAGAGCCAGAGAAAGATCCAGAGGAGGCTCCAGTGAGGAGGGAGCCTCTGTGGGACCGTCCCCCCAGTGAGAGCTCCCTCTCTGGGCTGGAGGGGACACGCTGACCCTCCTGAGGAGTCTGGAGTACCGGCCGGTGAAGACTCGGAGGGGCAGCCGGCTCCCCGTCCTGATCAAAGCCAAAGTGGAGCAGAGTGTGTCGCTGCACCTTCCCCTTCAGCCGAGGTCGCCCTACGGAGGGGCGGCGGACTGTTACCTGTACCCTCAGCAGCAGGTGACCCCAGAGGTCGTGACCCCGTGCGCCCAGCATGAGCTGCAGGCGGAGCTGGCAGAGATGGAGGAGCAGTGGATGGATGATTATATTCAGTGTGGGCCGTTTCGCTTCCAGCAGGTAGCTACGACGACGACTCCTGACCGGATAGCCTCCACCTCAGTGTAGATTTAGAATGCATCATGGTAAATTTTAGATTTACCAAAGACAGAAGAACATGTCAGGGTTCCTCGGCCTCTGCTGCTTTAAATATCTTTTTTCCTCATCGTTCTTCTTGTCCCTGAAGGTTATTTAGGATTTCTAAACT